GCGCCTTGATGGCTAAGTGTACTTTGAGGAACCTTGTAGATAGCAGCAGCGCGTCGCTGGCTTAGTGACGCGTTAGATTTCATTGCTTAGGTAGCAAGTATAACTCTATCTGCACAGGAAATTAATTCAAGATCAACTGGTTGAGCCATTGCAATTGATAGTAGAAAGCGTTGTGGTCTTGGCAGAGTGATTCGCTCGGTGGGGTGATTCGCTCGGTGGGGTGATCCGCTCGGTGGTGGACCACGTTATACAACTTCACATCTGAAGTATCGGAAGGTTCACCATCGCAGAGGTTTGATTGTGATGTAGATAAATTGTAAGATACAGCTCTCTTCAGCAACTTTCAGCTGTGGCAGTGTAAGCTTTCAGGCGACAATGCTGGTCACAGATGCTTTGTTGCGGTATTAAGGGCAAATGTTTATGACGAGTGTATTGTGTTGTTGTCGGCTCTGCTTTTATCTTTTCTCTCTAACGCTCGCTGCGGGGCCTGTTTTGATGACGTGTTTGTGATGCCGCTGAGGTAAGAGGTGCTCAACAACATGAGGAAGCAGCACCAGACTACCGCCAACAACACGTGATCTGCTACTCCTCTCAACCGTTACATGCCTCATCTTGTAAGAGAGCGGATTTCCGCAGGCTGACACGCGGATAGTAACAACAAGGTGGGCAGACAGGTGTATTTCGCGTTTGCACTTAGTTTTGCCTGATATGTGTAAGCGAGAGGTATAAATATGAAGCTGCGCCTGTTAGTATTCCCCCCTTGTGTGGAAGTCAGCAACACCGGACTGCATCGATCCAAGATTGTTACCGTATACAATCATGCATTTTCAAAGACTTCCTCTAACCTCTTCGGCGTATTCTTACATTACGAGTAATTTCCACATGTCACCGACGTACACACATGGTGTCCTGGGATGTGGGCGGGTCGCTGACACAATCAGACACGGGTCAGTGACGCGACGCCTGCTTTTACTACAGCAACAAGAAGCGTAGTGTCGAGCAGTATAAAAGCTCGTTCAAACTTCGCCCGGCCTGGAGGATTAAGAGCTTAGGTCTCCTTCAACATGGTTCAGCAAAGACGGCGTTTACTACAGGCTCTGGGGTGCCGTACATCCTTGAAAATATCGACTGTCCCTTCGTTCGCACCGATCGATATCAAGACAGGGGCCAGAAGCAAATTGTGTAATTCAGGCAGCTGTCGTTATCTTGATGTACTGGTACAGCTTCCGTAGCTGCTGGAAACAGCACGTCAGATTTGGTGGAGTAACGAGCGCATACCTAGCACTAGGTTTAGTCAGCTCAATGCTCCGAAACAGTTCACCTACACCAAGCACAATTCACCGCGCCTTCACCACGCCGTGCGCGCCCACCGACGACAAAGATTTGAATATTCCAGCTTGTCCTCATTCGGGTCACACCCCCGACCTACACCAGCGACATGTATCCAGCGACATGTATCCAGCTCGAGCCACCTCTTAAGAACAATTACACCATGCCGCTCACACGAATCACCATCTTAAGCGCAGTGCGCGAGATCTTGAGGAAGGCAGACTCTCAACATGCCCCGCTCGTCATCTCACTGACAGAGAATGGGAAGAATCGTTCATTCGACTGCAAACTTCCGGGCCGACTTATCTTTGGGCCGGAGAAGGATGACTTTCCAAGCCTAGGCAAGAACCAGTCGCCTTCCAATAGCAACCCGCTGCCTTCTCCAGAAGATCTGCAACGACTTCTCATCGCCGACCTGCATACATCACGACAGCGCCATATCTACAACAGCAACAAGACCATGCGGCCTGCCGCAGACGAGCCGCAGACAGACGATGATGAACCCGAGCAGCTCAACCGCTTGACTGACGCCGACCATGGTGCCAGTGGCGTTGTCGGAAACTGCAGTGCATTGCTGTTGAATGTGGAATTGGGAATCAGCAGCCAAGTCGGGATGAAAGGCACAATTCGGGAAGTGCGATTTGACCAGGCTCATTTGGGCAAATTCAGCCCCACTCTCGTCTTTGACATGACTCTCAGACTTGGTATTCTGCCAGCTTGTGTACAGTCATCCTTTCTACTATACAATGAATGGTGTACAGAGTAAGAGCTCAGATATTACAGGAAGTTCTACCACGGGAGTAGCGAGGAGCTTCTTTGGTGAGAGATTAGAGTAGAGACATTCTTGCTGCATGTTGGATCTGTTTGCCCCAAAACACAAACTAAACACTGTTCACGGCTTGGTCACTTCGCAAGAATCTTGAACAGTCTGCACAAAAGGTTACAGTGCCGTCCAACCGACTTTGCCTTTAAGTCCTCGGATTCTGATGTGCAGTGCAGCGATGACCCCTTGGGACTTTGTGTCGACCATGTTTCGGATCTGATGCGGAGTGGTGCTTTTTGTGCCATTGCACAGTTCGAAACGACCAAGCGCAGTCGGTTGCCTAGGCAGTCTCTGTGCGACACACCCTTTGATGCACTAAGAATGAAGTCATAAAGCTTGGTGCACATTCATTGTCAGTATCGCGATGATGAAGGAGAGTTGAGCCTCAAATTCCTTTGGCTCGAAGTTTGAATAACCTCATGCGCAGGAAGTCCAACGCAGCCATTCCTGTTCATGTCAAATTCGTTCTCATACAACGACATGTTCGACAGGTTCGCTTGGTCCAATGATCGCCATCGCGTTACTGCGGCGCTCCCGCTGGATCTACCTTGCTACCCAGTAATACCTCATACCATCCTGAATGAAGCTTCCGAATTATGATGTTGACCTTGCATGATTTGGGCGGATTTCGAGGGGTTTCGGCAGCATGGTTGTAGCAGTGGCAGTGCAGCACATGATAATCAAATCGCCCTACGCACATCTACTCGAGGCAGGCCTTAGGCTCAAGTCAGCATCGATAACCAGAATATTCAACGTATCAAACGAAAGGCTTGACTCAGTCCATTGCGATTGCATGAGAAAAGCACTAAGGTGCCTCGAAACAACCAATGAGAATCTCCATCCATCAATGTCTTCCTCGGTACCTGTACTTAATCGTCTCGGCAATGTCCAGAAATCTTCATCTTCCAAGTTAGAAGAACCTCTTCTCAACTTGGCGTGTCTTGGATCTTGCCTTTGCTTTTGTCCTGGCCATGCTGCAAGCGGACTTGGCAATACAAGGGGACTCATAGTTTAAAAGATCTCATCGCCAGCATTCAGTGGACACCAGCAGTAGTTCGCTCTTCTACTATCTCCATCTCTTCAAAGGGTCGGGCATCCTCTCCTTCAATTCTTCATTCATTCGCTCAAATCGCTCGGCACGAAGCTACGCTCACATCGACATCCACCTAAGGCTCAACTCTGTCCGCCATGTACTTCCAATCTTCAATTCTTATTACTGCTCTCGCCGGCCTTGTTGCAGCTGGTCCTATCGAGACACGCCAGCTCGGCGTTGGTGAAACTGGCACTACGTCAAAGGAGTTTTCCCGGGGTGGATGCAGAGATATATTGTTTGCCTGGGCTCGCGGATCAACTGAGATCGGTAACATGGTATGTAGTCCTTATTCGCAAAAGCACGCATGCTGATTTCCGTAGGGCACCGTTGTTGGCCCTCCGACCTCAGATGGACTGAAGCAGAATTTCGGCGCCAACGCTGTCGCAACCGAGGGTATCGACTATGCTGCCACAATCGGCACGAACGCCATTCTTGGAGGCACAGACTCTGTTTCGAAGAGGTCCATGCAGGACACCCTCAACTCTATGGCGCAGAAGTGCCCTGACTCGATCATCGTAGCTGGTGGCTACTCTCAGGGCGCTGCTGTCAATCACCGCGCCATCGAAGAGCTCGACACTGCAGTCCAGGATCAGATCGCTGGCGTCGTCCTTTACGGCGATACCCAGAAGCAACAGGACAACGACCAGATTCCTAACTTCCCGAGAGATAAGGTCAAGATCATCTGCCAGGTCGGAGATGCCGTCTGCCTCGGTCAGCTGCTCGTTCTGCCAGCCCACTTGACGTACGGTGCGCGTGCTGATGAGGGTGTCAACTTCCTAGTCCAGCAGATTAAGGGGGCGCAGGCGAAGGTTAAGGCCAGGAATGCGAAGCGCGAGGCAGCGAAGAGGGCTGAGAGCTTGGTTGCCAGGGTCAAGAAGGACGCCGCTTCCCTTGTGGCATGATGGTGTTGACACTTTATGAGGTGTCGGTGGTTCCAGGTAGCCGGACCAATGCGCTGTGCAGGCCACAGCATCAATCTCTCGAGTATGAGTACCTTTTCTCATTCTTGCTTCATCTTCAGTTCCTTTTCCTAATTGGGACCTTGCAGTCTTGAATTTATTGATGACATCATAACATCTCTTCTCGACCGTTGACTTACCTTGCCACCATCTGCATATGTCACAGTTTGAGTCTCTCTTGCCTCATAGACAACCGCACCTCACCTTCGGTGAGATGCGACTACCCATCGTACACTAGCGCTGTTTACAGCCACTTGTTTATATCTACTGTTCGTAGCTGCACACAATACAACCTCAGTTCAATCCTTCAATTCTCTCTGCATATTCGCACTATTCACTCCACCGCAACAGCATACCTTGCAGATGCAGATCGCAGCGGCGATGAAAACTACTCGTGTGAAGGTTGCCACAATGCAGTGTGAATTAAGGTCGAGACGAGTTTGACGAATGACGACGAGAAATGCTGGCTGGAGAACGAAACGTTTGCCTACCAGTTCCGTTGGGAGGGACTTGACGAGAATTGTACCGTGTCCGTGCACCCAACGATCGGAGTCAACCAACTAGGTATTGTTCCAAGCCTTTACGGCCATCACAAAATTAAGGCTGTAGAGTCACCTACGATGATTATCATTGTGAGATTTCTTTGTAGAGTATTCTATAGACCTATGCCAAAAGGTTCATGCCTGCTTAGATAGCCTGTTGTATGTATTTCATCAGGAAAAGTTTTTCCGTTGTCGAAATCAGGAAATCGTGGCATTGTACTATAGGCAACAGTAGGACTTGTAGGCCTATAATAGTTATTTAATGTGCATTTAATGTCTAGCTAATTTTAAGCTAACAGCTCTAATAGTCCTAA